TATATATATATATTCACATATAGGATGTCCAGAACAACGCTTAAAAGGAGATTCCTCAGATCATTTTAAGACGAAAATTCTACTATCAAAATGTTTAAGCTATAATAACTATTGAATTATAATTGTTTAAAATTAACGAATCATATTGTTTAAAGTTGGCGCGCTCAGGAGCGGCACAACGCAAAGTGCTAAATGCGAAAACTTATCACTTTTATTAATATTGATTTTAGGATTATTTATGAATATAAGATTTTATTTATTATTTCCACAAATACATTGTAATAACAATGTGTGACAACATTTTTCTTTTTATAATAATATTTTTTATCTTTATATGATACGCAGAACACAATCTAATCAAATAACAGTTCTTTGAGCAATCTACTATCAATTTCATATTTTAATTAGCAGAAATTAGTAACTTTTTATGTAGAATCGTGTTGCTATTGTTAATACTCAATTAAAACTCATTCAAATACACTTTAAACATTTTACTTTAAAAATCCGGAGAAACTAGGAACTTATAAAATCACTATTGGAATTAAATCAGGTGATGATCTCACTGGCCAGTATTGTGATCCATTGTGTCCTATCCATCTATTCAAATAAGTTGTATCTAAAAAACGTCGAACATTTTTAAATGTGTGCGTAGGTGTACCATCATATTGAAAAATCATATTCTTTCTGAAGTGCAACGAAACATTCTCTAATAAAACATTCTCTCTAAAGAATCAATAAATGCTTGTTGCAGCATCCACTTATAAAAATTTCTTCTTTGTGCGTAATCCTGCGGCATCAAATGTACTTTTGTATAGTGATACGCATGTAATTAATTTTTCTTTTTTTGTCTCTTCATTATGTATATTACGGACATAAAATTAATCGCATTATTGAAGCAGTTGCAAACATATCACCCGATATGATATTTAATGCGCAACAAAGTTTATTGAGATGCCAAGATTGTGCATAGATGTAAATAGAATACAATTCGAATATTTATTAATGTACATAATTCATTTTGTAAATTAATTGTTCTATATTAATTAATAATTGATTAATTGTTCTTTATTTGTAAATTTATTAATTGTTTATAATTAGTAATAATTTATATACACATAAGTTCCTAGTTTCTCTGGATTCTTTTAATAAAATGTTTAAGGTTTATTTGAATGAGTTTTAATTGAATATTATAATAACAATAACAACATGATTCTACATAAAAAGTTATTAATTTCTGCTAGTTAAAATATGAAATTGATAGCAGATTGCTCAAAAACTGTATCTGATAGTCTGCGTTCTGTATCGTGTAAAAGTAAAAAATATTATTATAAAAAGAAAAATGTCGCATAATGTTATTGTACAATGCATTTGTGGAAGTAATAGATAAAATCTTATATTCACGTATCAATCCTAAAATCAATATTAACAAAAAAAATGATAAGTTTTCGCGTTTAGTACTTTGCGTTGTGCCACTCCTGAGCACGCCAACTTTAGAACAATATGATTAATTTTAAACACTTATAATACAAAAGTTATTATAGCCATTATAACATTTTAATATTAAAATTTTTGTCTCAAAATAATCTCAGGAATCTCCCCTTAAGCGTTATTTGTCTCTTTTCTGGACACTCTATATATGTATATAAATAAAAAGAGTTATAATTAATAAAAGATACATTGCTCTCGGATGTCAAGAGACTGCAGAACAAGAGATAGGAAAAAATTGCAATATCAGAGATACAGAGTACTGGAAATACTATTAACATTTTATAGACGATAGAAACCGAGCGACGGCATTGCAAAAAGAAGACAGGAAAGAGGAAAATCGGATGATGTATCATGTAAGATAGCATATTTGACAACATAGAAGAAAGCGACTTTAAACTTGACAGAACGATGTACAGGAAAAAATAAGAAATTTTAATATCGGGTATTAGGAGTTGTAAAAATTTGGAGTTAAAATGCAAGAGATTATGGAGATTCAAAGGAATGTTAAAATGAAGAAAATGATACATAAAACAACACAAATGAAGGATAAAACATTGAGAGATTTTTAGCCAACTGGATTTTAATAAAAAGAAGAGATGCAATCATACTTGGATATTATAAGAAAAATAAAGATAGGAATTTTTTGGATACTCTGAATTGAATTTAACACTTGTTGGTTTAACACATTGGGATATAAACCACATCAGACGAGACAAATAATGAAATAATAAGAAGCTGAGATACAAGAAACTTTTGTGAAGTTAATAGGATATGTAGAATTAAGGAAAACATTAAAAGGAGGAAGATAATATAGGGAAAGAAACATGCAATGATGAGCAAGGAAAATATTGAGGGATTTAGATGATGCGGCCCACTCGGCCGCATATCGCAGAAATTTATAATTTCGGTGGCCTTTAGATAGACAGAAAAAGAAAAAAATAATGATATCGTCAGCATATATAAACAACTTGGAGAGCTAAGATGAATGGAACTCAGATCATCAGTGGTGAACACTGTAAATAGCAGAGATGTAAGATCAGATCCTTGAGGTAGCATCTGGATGGGACAATTCTGGATGGAATAGGAGATAAAGTAGGAAGAAAAGGACTTATTGGGAACAATTAATTAGGAAGGAAAGAACAAAGGGGAATAAATTGTAATAACCAAATTTGGCAAGAAACAATTTATGATCGACAGCCTTAAAAAATCGGGCCAATGTCACCGAATCGACATCAGCAACACCTTGTCGGACAAGGAAATGTAACAATTCAGTCGTATTGTTCATGCTCTAGACTGGCAATATTAGGTATAATTAATGTTGAAGAAGGCTTTTAATTGCCTTGACAGATTTGCTTAAGGATGAAAAGATATTGAAATGTATGTTCAATGTACATATAAAATGGATTGAACATGAAATTCTCAATATGTTTTATTATGCTGTAAATGAAATCTCTATTTTATAAATTCAAAATATTTGCATTTTATTCTTATATAGATTAAATCAGTATTCAACGGCTTTAATGTACACTTGTGCACACTGTAATGCGTTCAATTGAATTTGCAAAAAGTTTACAGTATTTGTGTTATAATAAATGTTCTACAACTGTGATAATTAATAACTACCAATGTCAGTACATATTTCAAGCGAAATGAATTGAAAGATTTAATATCTTGTTAAGAGAAATAGTAATAGATAACGATTCCTTTATTGAAATTATAAATTTTTCAATTATATCTATGTTTAAAAAAAATACATGAAAACGTATTTGGAAACTTCAAATGGTCAATAAGATATTTTTCACTTAGGAGAGAGACCTGTTTTTAGCTAAATGTCTTAAACATTTGACACAAATCTTTTATCTTTTTTTTTTTAAATATGGAGAGAAAAAGAAAGAGATGA